TGCAAACGGTCGGGATAATATACAGTATGAATAATAATACAGTATACTAAAAAAAGAATGATGCGAGCTACTGAACATATTAGTCAATGTTGGCGATTTGTTGACTGAGGTCTACTTTAGAATTCCAATTTGAATTTTGTCGCATCGGCATCTTAATTACTATTTAGACTGGTTTTTTATATGATGCTATTTACACCAAGCATTTCGGGTTGTGTAGTTCAGTTTATTCTGCACAAGCTGGAGTCGTAAGTGTCTCAACATTTTGTTAATTCCAAAACTAAGTGGCGGTAAAATGGATGCACAGTCATGTCATACTGGCAGTAATCGTTCATGTGTTACTTATGCGTAGACACAGATCGAACTGTGACCATTTCCGTTGAAAGTGCCTTGCGAGATATCTAGGACGCTGTGTAAACTCTAAGTATTTGAGCTCTCTGAAAACATCGACAAGGTTAAACAGACGAATCATTTACGATAGAGTACATAGATATAGAGCTAAAAGTATAGTTTCATCGATCAAACGTAGCTTCGATTGCACAACTTCCATTAATTGAGTGCTAAAACCCGAGCGGCGCGAGTGAGTTCACTGATCACCTGTGGACGTGGCATCTGCTGCGCTATATTCCCACACTCATTGGCTCAGGCATCTAAGCGTCGTACACATTGGGTTAGCAGTTGGCGATATTTGATCCAGGCATGCTTATCACCTTTAATTACAAACACCGCTGGATGGACGACTTTTGACGTCCAGGGACCTAGGTGCAGTTAACTGGGTGCACGCCTGAAAAAAGCTATCGTACGTTTGTAAGCTGCTTTTTAGATTATCATGAAAGTTTATATACTCCTTTAGCACAATTTACTTCCTCTGAGTTGAAATTAACTCATTACTCTGTTGTACAATCTAAGCCATTAAATAAGCCATTAAATATAAGCCATTAAATATGGTTAAAATGCTAGCGATTGACCAATACATTAAAACCAATAAGTGGCCAGAGCTAGCATTCACCATAATCAGTAACCTGTAAATTAGATGAATAGCCATGTTGAAAGCATGCTCATAATTAAACACCACTATAATTATACTACGTATTGAAGAATCCTTACCTCAGTTTGCTTTCCCGTTTTCTGGATGTCACTCAGGGAGGACATAAGCTAAGGCATTAGGGCCTAGCATGCTTTCACAATGTGCGGCATTCTTCAACTGCTGAGTACTGTTGAAACAATTTACATTGAAATTATAGGTTCGTGGTAACAAAGACTCAGTGGTCTTAGTAGTTATTTAGCTTGTTGTTATGCCTGAAGGTTCTTCAGTGTTGGTCTCGTCTAAATGTTAGCCATGAACACTACTGTATTTTTCAAGTAGTTACATGTGTAATTGGGGGCCAAATTAAAGATGTGAGTTTCGTCTGCAGTGTGGTTGTGAAGCGTTAATTAGTGTACAGCACTGTTGCTAAGTCACGCTTTCTTAATATTACCATATCTTTTCGGCTACCATATATGTTTGCTTATATATGCGCAAGGTTGTTCCATGATAACAGGTGTGATTTCACTGCCATTACAGGTGAAGCTGTGTAATCACATTTGTCAAGTTGATGGATCATGCACGTAAGTTTTCCATTTTCGTACTCATACATTGTTTTTCTCAAATTGTAAACAAGTACTAGGCATTAGAAAGAGTACTGATAGTTTCGTGCTCCTTATGTTACATTTCTTTCTTTCTGTGTCATTATTAAATTGTTGGCCTTGTCCAAATCCTAGTTACGTTCAAAAGTATGCTGTATTACAAGGTAAGTTTAGTGCAAAGCGTTTGCCCATATTGTAAGCAAGCTGCTCACATTCAGCAGAAGTGGAAATTTAGAATTGTGTCAGTTGCAACGTAAGTAAGTGCAGCTGACACGTGGTATGTTTTTGAAAGAATAATTGATTTATTGGCAGTGAACATGACTGCCACTTGCGGCATAACCTTCGGCGTCGTCCGCGAAGAGAAATGTCTGCTTATATGCTCGGCGGCATCCGATTTCGGATTTGCTTGTCACTGTGGCCAGCCACAGAAAACCTGCGCCTACAGAGGGACCATAGGTGGCTTGCGCTGCACCACCCACAGCTCCAACCACACACCCCATATGCAGTGTAAACCCGAAGGAATAAGACCGGGAGGCATGTGGATGGGAGCCACTTTTCATCAACGAAGCCGGCCCACACTCCTTGGCAGGCAAACATGAGCACGATGGATTTGGGGACTCAAACGCGCACAAGGCGGTGGCTGGACCGTAGTGCGCTCCACACTGAGTGCATGGAACCGAGTGGAACGGCCACAAGGGCCGTGCTCCCGTCACCTGCAGCAACGACCAACTGTCTCATGGAACCAGTATGGACGAGGTAGTGGATAATAGACAGGTAGGCAGCATGTCAACATACGCATCAAGCGCAGTCACACTGGGGATATAACGCAACAGCCGATCACTTGAGAAGACAAAGTGAAATTAAGTAAATCCAATAATGCCTATAGATACGGTGGCACAGCTCTTCGCTAAATTAGCATGTGAAGTAAGTTGGTTAGCAACGAACTAGCGATAAGTAAAAAAATGTCCACAAGTTACTTAAAAATGCTACAAACACAACAAAGTTACTGAAGATAAGCGCAATTAGCGTAAGCAACGTGACCAGTTAATAGAAGATTATTCAGGTAGGCAGAACAAACCAAATAAAGTGGGATGAAATTTGCTTAGCTTAAAAATACCTAGTTTAATTAAAACTTGGTTTAGCCCAAATGCGGTGAAGAATCATCAAGAATGCAACATCAGATATGCTCACACATGTGTGCTCATACGTTGTGATTTGAGGTCCACGGACAACACGAACAGACTGTACGAAAACGGACCTTACCTGCTTTGAGCCCTTAGATAAAGATTCCACACTTTTTCTGAAGAGATTGTCACTCACTTGTTCTCTTTCATGACAAAAGCGGTGCTTGAGTACGGGTCATTTGACTATTCCCCGATCAAAATAGAAGTGTAGAGACTTGAACGGGTTCAGCATGCAGCTACCCGGCTCATCCCTAGTTTAGAAGGAATGTCGTAAAAGGACTTATGTAGAAGACTAGCCTTAGTCTTGCTTTCATAATGACGCACCGGATATCGTAACTAGGCCACTTCCACTTCTCGAGGCCACTGCTGCACCTTCGCGCACCAAGCAGTACACGCGGACACCGGTTCAAACTGGTGGTACCGGATTCTAAGTGCATCTCTTGCCCTCTATGCTTCAAGCATCCAGTGGTAATATGTTTAAACTTGTTGTCGGAGACAATATTCAAGGCGAAACCGGTGTTGGTATTTAGGAGATTTCTTGAAGCCCACTTTGCGCATTACAGGTATAAGGAGCGTATCGCACCCGGATATGAAATAATGCAGCTGTAATGTAACTGTCACTACACACGAATATACGACATGAATCCCTGCAGGTGCTCAATATGAGTACGAAGGAGCAACAGAGATTTATATATTCTCGCTCTTTTGTTTCAGTATTTCATATTCATTAATTTAACAATTGAAACTGGGGTTGCTGTATTTGCTTCTTACCTTATTGTAGGCAGCTGCATTTATTTCCCCTTTTATCAATTTGAGCAGTGTGTTGAATTTTGACCATATTGATTAGACTCCAATGGTAATTCCTTCAATGCTCTCGACAACATAAGCATTATCCGTCTGTTAGTAGCATCTTGGCTACAATAATTTTCAGTGGTGTTCGCTATTAGGTTTGCACACTTAAGTTGAGGAAAGCAATAAAGGACCGCTTCGTGTATACGGGCCCATCCGTATTGCAAATCCCTTTTCCTCCCCAAAATATAACGGACGACCTTTTCATAGAGGTGGTTTACTGATGGTCTTGTTTGAAAAAGGCCTATCATAATGCCTTACAAGCTGTCTGAAAGTTGTCGTTACCCATCTTCCACAAGCATTGTACCATTAATCATTGACGGAAAAAATGTTGCCCTTCATGGTAACCTGTTCGCCCTAATAGCAGTTTACGACGAAACAAATGCCAGGCACATTTTTTGGAAAGGAAGGGGAATAGCTTATTCGAAAAAACACAAAATCTGCTTAAGCAGTGTCAAAAAGCTATTTTATGTGCTATATTCCGCTTCTATAAAAATAGATAAAAAACCGTCAACTGCTCTTATAGTTACGAATTTAAGTACGCGGACTATGTGTGGTAAATATGTAATATATTTCAAGAAAATAATTAAATGCTGGTTGTAAGAAATGCGCGAACGTAGCGTTACCGATAATTCTTCTCAATAAAATGTTACCATCTACGAATTTACATACTAATCCACTCAAACCCTCCGTTATATTTGCTGGGGAATACCGTCAACTCATAGCATATCGAAACTTATATCAAACGTAAGAAAAATTGGAATACGAGAAATGGGTCTGAGATTCTTGTACTTTTTCATATTTAGGCATTAAGATAAGTTTCATCGTCGAATCACTTTTACATCTGGAGCAAAATTGTTGCCTTATAAATAAACTCATACGCTAATTTTAACCGATTGAAGCGCAAACGGATCACACGCTCCAGGAAAAATATGCCAAGTAAAAGCTTGTTTTGTTCCAGAGTACTAAATCACAATTGACATCATAATATATGTGGCGATGAAAACTTATAATGAGGTATTTCGAGCGCATCGAACCTGAAAGTGCTGGGAGTTAACTGGACCAAACACTGAGATTTAGTTTCCTCAAGTCAAACAAACCTGGATTTTGTTTCCTTCCGAAACACTAAGAGCAAAAGGAAACCGACGTGATCTGTTACGGTTAAAATATTCCCCAACAGTCATCAACAAGCCGGGAAAAGCAGTGTAACTCCTGTACGCATTTGGTCAATTCTAGCCGTGTTATCATGTGACACCGCATTCGGCTTGTTTAGGCCAATCAGAGCTACGTCCAATAGACTCGGCTTCACCAGTCTAGCTCGCGACCACCTGCACGCAACTGGCTGTACTATTGATTGAAATGAAGGCATAAAGTGAAGTGCTGGTTGTTACTTCAAGGTTTGCGAGCTCTCAGAAGCGCAGATCACTGTTTTTTCGTCCGAATCACTGATGAACACAAATGCGCGGGTGACATATGCGTGGCTATTAGATGTGTTGTTACACCAACACCTCAACAAGTCATGTGCATTGTGGCAGCTATTTTTGTGTGGCTAACGATTGTAACTACACTCGTTCAGAGGAATCCGATTTGCGCGGACGAATATGTACCCAAACGACTGGAAACAAAGACCGCGAAGACTGCCAAAACCGCATATTTCACATCGTCAGTTAATCATTCCAAAAGGTCGGATTACTATGCTGGAACTGTGCCGTGCACAATATCATGTTTTCTTAATCCTCCGGAATATGAAATTGTTTCATGTGCCACGCATGCCGGACAAGATGGGAAAGGAAATACTGAAAGCCGTAAAATCATAAAATGCCATCGAACCAAAGGTAGTGGTGAAATAACCATAGGCAACAAAGAGTCTGTTCGCGGGATTCAACCTGGGACACTTGAAAGTTTGCTGTATCTAGACGACGACTTTCTGCCAACGTCTGGTCAGCTCACCGTTCATCTGAACGTGAATATGGTACGCCTGGACGCGAAGGTTTTTCAGGGATTAGATACCGTGGTCACAGAAGTACGCCTCCTGAACACGGTTCAAATCCATCCCGACAGCTTGCTAGAGCTCAGCCACTTGAGGGTGTTCGAAATAGAAAGCGGTCAGATACCAGTCCTCCTCGCAAACGATGGCAAGGGAACTAATCTCACTGATAAACCAGTCATATCAGATAAACCTGCTTATCTTCGACTACTGCCAGCCGATGCTGGTATACCCGTAAGTTTTAACTTCGAAACCAGTTGTCACCGATGTAATCACCTAAATTCCACCAAGGACGATTACGTTGTAATATCATTTAAAAAACCAAATGTAGCCAATGAACTCTCGGAATTATCAAAACATTCAGCTTTTAGTATTGTCTTTCCGCAAACTTGCCCACGCATATCACACGGGGCTGGTTGCAGTGAATTTGGATACGTTCCAGATATTACGGTTGATGATACACATAGATACGGTGAAGAAGGTGCAAGATTGGCTTTCAAAGAAGCCAGACAGGTTTCAACTGAACAGTATGCTCCATCTCTTTTGATACTTCTCAGTATTTGGTGCATCATATTAACACTGTTAACATTAATGATAATGGGCACGGCTTATGTTTGCTTTCGACGAATTTCGCACCGTAAGCCAACACCAAGATGGCTGTCGGTTATTTGTGCGAATCAACAATCCTCCCTTGAAGACATGAGTTCCGGTTCCATGAATAGTGAGATGTACAACAAGCCACCGAACATCGGTGACCATGAATCTGGAATTCTGATAAACCCCCTTATGAATGAGTCACGCACTTCATGGAATAGTCTACAAATAAGACCACGCATATCAAGAAGTGACCACAATCTGAAAGACAAAGGATTCAGGTCACAGAGATTTAACTCGATGATGAACGGGCGGCGAATATACAGAACGGAACACAATAGACGGAGTATAGGGAGCCAGACTGACTTCACTGATGTGGATTCCGAAGTCGCAATTTATTCTAGCTTGCAACGAAGAGCTTTACCATTTAAGGATCCCAGTTTCATGGATCCCCCATCAAGAGCAACCAGTCAGCATGCACTGAGCAGAGTGCGGCAATATTTTCCGGGTGATTCTGCTTCCCGAAGGATGGATAGATTAAACAAAACAAGGCACTACGTATTGGACTTTGGGTTGTCAGATATCCATCCAACCGGCGAACAGACGGTGGAATACAGCCACCAAACCGAGGGGTCTGATGCAAATATGTGTAAAACCAGCATTATCCTCGGTCATCCTACGGTTTACAACTTACCACCAGTTGCCCCCACCCATCAGTTTGATGGCCGTTTGCCAGCTAGAAAATGGAATAACATGCTCGATAACTGCACGTAAGAATTTCGTGGAATCTCCATGCTAAATGTTCTATTATTTTTTCAGTTAGTTCCATTCAACGGCAGATTATTTTACGTTGCCTTGAGTTGTATGGAACTCTATGCCACCTGATATGCTGCCCTTTATTCAAACTTATTAAATGAGCTAAAATTTGTGTAAACACTTCAAGCTCGTTGTTAAAATAAGATTGCTTCTGCATTCAAACACAATCTTTACTTTCTCGTATAATCTACGGGTAATGATGAACCTGTATAGACTATATAGCTGACGTTCCGATTGGGGCGCTTTCTAGTTATGAATATCTTGAATCCAGGTTGCAAACCTACGGGTTAAATTAAACGCAACTTGTCCCTTCATTTTGAATATACGTGTCACGTAACTTACTAAATCAGATAAAACTATGTAGACTGGTAAAATTTCAGGATAAATAAATATGCTTAGATTAATAAGCGTTAATTCACGGGACTTTGTTCGTCATTCAGTCTAGATGTAATGTATAATCAACATATGCACTCAGGCATATGCAGATCGATTATAGAAAGAGGAATCGATAGCACGGCCTCTTCACTGAGGTCAAGATGACCCGCGTTAATTTTATCTATACTCAAGTGGCCACGAGGAACGCGTAAGTGCTGAGTACACGATTGTATTTTGTCCACGAATACGCAGTGATAAAAAACATACTAATAAATGTACATGCTTGTTCGCATTATGTAAGCTTTGGTAAACGTAAAAACAGCTTAGAGCAATAAAGGTTTTGTGAATGTGCTTCCTAATATATCAGATGGCTTAGCTATTGCGACAGTTGTTTTAATCAGGAAGTCTGCACCACATATATACATAAGCGCAACAGCATTTTTAGTAGGAGTGTTAAATTGATATTTAGCATGGCAGGATTAATCAAGCGAAGGCCTAAAATTGCTACGCAGCACCTCCTTGCGATATCTAATATCCGAAGCCCATTTCGCAAATAATGCTCTGCTAAAGGTGCCAGTAACATACTACTTGATAAACCTGCGTGGTGTATGAGAAACGCACTCGTAACTAGAACTGATAGGACAAAAGACGCGAACATCAGATATTAAGATCGTATACCGTATTTACCACAGAAAGCAAGATAATTTGGTTTTCACCGCAGTCATTATCAGTAAATAAACAATAAACGTTAGTATTGTATAAGTACATTGCATTAATAATAAACAGTAGTATTGAGTTCCACTAGATGACATGTGACAAGGTAAACCATAATATGATGTCTGCTCCATAGTTTAAAAATTATATTTATCCTGGCAACTTTGCGATGAAAATAAACTTGTTCATTATTCAGGTTCTTGATGGGAATTGCCAGAATGTTTTGCCGTTTATTGTCAAATATTCTGGCGTGCACTTAGGACTATTATTTTGCGATGCACCACTTGCTACTTTGGTTCCGCGAACTTGGTTGACCACAAGTGGATTGCTGCTTGAATGATTTAACGGTACCTGTGGTTTGGGGAACAACCAAATATAGAGCCTGAGAGAACATTAACCTGTCGCTTTTCAAGTTTGTTTGCTAACTAAACTACACACAGATCGGTCCACGTAACATTTCCTGGTAAATATTCATCCGGCTCCGGGTACAATAGTTGCGCTTTTGGTCTTAATTTGCCAGGAAAAAGACGGATAATTCTAACATGCAACGTATGCTTAACAACCTAATACTTAGTAGGATGCGATGGAGAGTTTATACGTTATTTGCAGACAAATGGGTGGGTAACTTATAAACATAGGGAAAGTTGTCACCTGTGTTAACTTCATTATTTTAATAATTCCAAAGGGCAAAATTCGTACCAACCTGTTTATCATTTATGCGTTCATGGTCGCAGAGCTTTAACGGCCATAAGAACGTGTTTGACCACTGATTCAAAGACATTGTTACAAACATACATAAAATTACATTGGTAGAAATCTAAACGATTCACTGCCCTTCAGACTTGTGTTTACCGTGTGAATCACCTAGGACGAATTATCGGATGATTTACCGAATGTATTGCATTTAATATGCAAAAACTAAGCTGCTGGGCGTTTGGATTGTACTAAGAACTCCAATATTTGAAATCATAGCGTTTGCAGCAACAAAGACTACGATGTGCCTAGATGTGTAGTGTGAATATTGTGAATCAGGAAGTTCGATAACCCTACAAAAATTAACTCTATTTCAATTAATAGATAGAATTACCAAGTGTTCTATGACTACATTCCAAAAGCCTTTAAAATGGATGTAAACAAAACTTTGCAGCGTTATCTTTGCTATCTTTAACATATATTCTAACAGCGTTAACTCGAATTTTGAAAGAAGTTGCGGTAGAGTGAAATAACATGTCGATTTGGATGGTTCTGTTTAAATTAACCCTACAAATTCGTGCCCGGCCGGTAGTCAGGAATATCCGGTTCCTTAAGAAAGCAGACTCCACTCTTCAACTTCAAAAGTTTTATACATAAGTTAGTAGTTATTCTACCGTGTTTCATTTATTATGACTGTATAGCAGACATTCAAACCTCTATTAAGTTATGGCCCCCTTTGAAACTTCATAATACTTATGGCACTTCACCCTTGATTACCAAAATTTAAGCAATCCGCCACGCCTAACGGACACAAAGCTGGGATTTCCATTTTTCATTTTGGTAACTTTTGTTATGATGGTTAAATTTTAATATTGTTACCTCCACGATTTCTTTTATAAACTCCATTCTAACTTTTACGATCTTAAACTAACATTCGTTGTGCGGCAATATCAAACCACTTATTCGTAATTACACACAAATCTTCAGTAATAGTTAAACGGGTATTTACTTATTTCTGGCTTTTAACTGTAACCTTTGTGATGTATTAGGTGGTTCAGTAACTCCGTACCAATATATTTTTCGATGTATAGGGTGGTGCACAATATGTCATACCATTAGTTTTGTTCTTTACTCTTGTGATATTATAGATGTAATGTTAACCACTCATATTGGTATAATTTGTTTTATGGAAAATGGCTTGGATATAACGAGGTTAGTATGGACTATTTCCTTGGCGCCAAACACAATTAGAGCAGGTAATGACATATCGGTTTCCTGAGCGTCACCAATGTTGAAGACAGTGACCTGTGCATAGCCCTGTCATCAGTCCATATGATTTCTTCTTACGTGGCTACTTGAAAGTTAATGCCTTTGCAAGGAAGCTTGCAAGTGCAACTCAACTCAGGGTTCTCATCATGCCTTTGCACCGTCTAAATTCGGAACACTTGTCGAAAGATTGTGACAAATGTAGACCTTCGATTAAAGATTTTGTGAAACAAAAGGATGATCAAAATTCACCACATAATAATTTGTACTAAAGTTCCGACACAATTTCCATTACAATTAATTATGCACTACTTTTGTAATATTTTTGCTTATAAACCCATGTGTACGAACAAAACAAACGGCATAAATTTTCGTGCACCACCGTGTATTAATACGAGTCTTGAGTCGAATGCCCTTGAGCAAGCTTATTTAGATTCGGCTCCAGACGTCAAAGCGAGATTCGATTAATTCATCTTGCTGTGATGGCAAATCTAAATCTACTTATTTTTGGAGAAACCAGCCTTCTGAATCCACACTCAGACATGCATTTAGATGAAAAATTAAGGAATTCTATATTATATCTATTTCCCATAGTCTGACACATAAGTCTATACAGAAACTTTATGTTGCCTAGCGTGGTTTTTTAAGCTCTTTGAGTGTTTTATTGGATTTCATCTCAAACATCGAAGGGCTGTAAACCAATTGGATTCAAAACCTAAATCGGGATTCCTAGATACATCAGGTCATAAAACTTGTACTTCGTTTCTTTTCGGAGTTGTTTTAATGGACTGACATATACAAGCAATCAGGTACCGTGCAAATGCGCGACCCAATGTTTTTGATTACACAACTATTTTGCTAGAAAAGGCGATGATAACATATGTGCCCATAAGATTACTCAACTTGCCTTGTAGAGTTTTATATAGTAAGTCCTTTTTCAAAATCATCAGCTAGACAAAACATCTGGCTTAGCTACTAAAAGTACTTTCCCGTAATAAGTTCTATTAAATTTTGTGATGATGGTGTCCCAGCGTTCTACAAAACGGCGAACGCAGTTGCCTTTGTAGTGTCATCTAGCTCGTATATGTAAAAGTCGAAACTGGAAATGTTCTCTGGTCTCCATACACAAAGGCTGAAAATGACAATATTGAAATGGGTGCAAATTGCTTTTGTTAACTACTATGATACATTTTGACAGTGCATCGTTTAACCGCCAGCCCAAGTCCTTAGCCACCAGTTGCTTTCAGTTAATTGCATGAACAGAAGGGAGAACAAATTTTAGATGGGCAATAAATAATCTCTATCTTCCGACCATTGCCAAAGCACTAACTGTTGCATTTGCAACATTAGTTTGCTTTGTGGTGAAATTCTCGGGAAGATATCCATTGACTACCTTGAATGGAGACTGGCGCTTTGTATGAATTTAATATATCCTGACAAGCAGCTTCACTTAGATTAAGTCATTTGCATTGAAGAATTAGCATATGCCGTGATAAAGGAGTATTTATCAGGCAGATAATATGTATCTACCCGTAACGAAAATTTTCTGGTCCTTAGTACGATACTGTTGAGTTTCTGTACAGATTGGATTAAACTGTGCTCGTGCATATATAAAAATCAGCTCAGCACTATTATTGATACTGAAGACAAGATAATATGTTCTCCAACATTATATGGACAACGATTTTTTACAATCAGTTTGCGGATTTTATAAGATGCTGTTAGTGCGCTTGCCTATTTTAACGTGTCAGAAACTAATGGTTGTAATGCTGGTATGTTTTCAAATCTATCCCACAGCTATCAAAATAAATACACTGAGGTTCGGTTTTTGCAAGCATCAACACTTTTCAAGTTATTTTTCTGTTCATATGGTCGCATAAGTTTACTTGAAAAAGCTTCTTGTCAAATGAGACACATAGGTACATTGGGGTTTTGGAATGATGCGATAACTTCAAGTGACAGGTATTCTACAGAGTTGTAAAGACACTTCTTTGCCGAGTAGCACATTTTGAAGTATGTCATTGTGAATTGTTAATATGTAATAAACATATACTGCTTTTTTCTACACAGTTATATCATGTGCAATTAATAGCATCATTCGACAAGACGAA